TTCAAAACAGGCACTGAAAAATATAAAAAGTAAAAAAAAAACGTGAAGACGAAAAAGATCTAAGGCCATACGGTATACATGCAACGAGCATGTTCGTGGTTGAGCTGGCCACGAACAACGGGCGTCCACACTACCCCGCTGTTTCATGGTGGCTCGTGTTCGGGACAACGGATTCGCACGGCCAATTGGATTGAAGGAAGCGATTTGAACGTTACACTAGCCGTTGAACGACTAGTTTGTTAAAAAAAATCAATTATAAACAATTTATTTACCTATATAAATACAACACTTTTACTCCTTATTTTTTACACCATTCTTTTCTATCTCTATACACAATTTACATACTACATCTTCACAACCAAAAACCATGGATCCCAACCAAAATACTCATCTAAACTACAGAAATCGCAAACCCGATAACGCTATTGCGTTAGATACAACACCTCGCCAATTCTCGACTATGGAGTCACCTCAAGGCGGTTTTATCAATCTACTTCAAACCGGTTCCCCTATCTAACAAACACCACTTTTCCAACAACAATATCAACCTTTTCCGTCTTTCCAACAACAACAAATTTCACAACAATACCAACAATTTCAACAATTCCAACAACTACAACTCCAACAACAATCGTCACAACAACAACAACCTCCAATTACATAACCACCAAGCTCACAACCACCACTTTCGCCGGATTTTGTTGCGGAAACGCAACCTTCACCACCACCTCAACCAAAAAAGAAAAAAGGGAAAAAATCGGCCCGACCCACTACCGCCCAAGAAAGGGTCCCATGGACAAAAGAAGAAGAAGAAAAGTTAGCGGAGGCATGGTTGGCGGCTTCTGAAGATCCAATTGTAGGAGATAGTCAGCCTTACGGAAGTTTTTGGGAGAAAGTCCGAGCCATTTTCTACGAGTTAATGGAAAGTGAAAGTCGAAACGCCGATCAAATTACGTCGAAATGGCGAGATATTCGACTAAAATGCACCGAGTTTGGAGGAATCTACAACAACCTCCTAAACATACGTAAAAGCGGATCGAACGATTTTGATGTTTTCACGACGGCCATGGACCAATTTGAAAAAACAACGCCAACACGCAAAGCTTTTCCGTATATGAAACCGTTGCTAAAATTGAAAGACGCCCCAAAATGGAAAGAGCAAACGGAAGGAACTTCGCAATCTTCCGGTTGAAAGCGTTCGAGAAACCCCGATGCAACTTCTCAACAATCCGACGGCCGAACACACATCGACATCAACGACGATCCGCTAGATCTTGGAAACGACCAACCTCTTCGTCGGCCTGTTGGAAGAAATAAAGCAAAAAAAGCGGCTTCAACATCTTCGAATTCTAGTGTTATGGATATGTTTGGCGATAAATTT